GTTCCATGCCTTTGAAAGAAGTCACTGGAATTTTAATGACTGTTGCAGTGAATTTATATAGCACTTTGGGTAGGATGGTCCAGAAAATTGAATGCAAAGAAATCTTCTACTGGAAGACCACAATGGAAAAGACATTGAAAACAAAAATATACAGATGTAACTATACAATATTTCTGTTAAAGGGTCGATATATCCGTGAGCTCACTAAAATTAGCCACAACAAAAATCCAACCTTGTCCATAAATGGGGTGAATGGATGAACAGATATTTCTCTGAAGAAGACATACAGATGACCACACACACAAAAAAAGTGATCATCATCACTTAGAATAAGAGAAATGCAAATCTAAACAACAATGAGCTATCATATCATATTTGTAAGAATGTAACATATCAAAAAATCAGAAATAGCTAGTATTGTTGGGGTTGTGATGAAAAAAAGAAATATTATCCACTGTTGGTTTGAATGCCATATAGTTCAATATCCAGAATTCCAATAAAAATGGGTGAGGTTTCTTTTTTCATCACAACCCCAACAATACTACCTATTTCTGATGTTTTGATATGCAGCATTCTTACAAATGTGAGATGATAGCTCACTGTGGAGATTTCTCAAAAAACAAAATCAAGTCTAGACCTCCTAGATGATTCAACAATGTCTCTTCTTGGCATCTGTGAGTTCCCAAGGAAAATATCCAAGGTCGCTCACGGGTCTCGACCCATTCCTTTGGCAAGCCCACAACAATGACACACGAAGAACACGACGAATGGAGAAACTCGGACTGGGCCCCAGGCTGGTCCGTAACCAGTTTATTTCTCTCTCCTCCCCTGCATATTACGATCTCTCCCTTAAAACACAATTCTAGTCATAGTTTTGCTTGTAGACCCAGTCATCATAGTTCCCTCATCCTAGTCTCGTACACCTCAAAGTTCTCTTTCATTATCTCTTCTTCCTCATCTCCTTGTAGTCTCATAGTCCTCTACTTTGAGTTATCATCATCATCTAGTCCTCATTGTAGTTCTTATATTCTTTTCCTCAAAGTCCCAATGTCCAATAGTCTCAGTTCTCATCCTCCTCTCTTTCCCATTACAGCGTACTTATATAGCAATCATGAAGGGTGGGGGTACAAATAGGTGGGGTTGAACATTGTCATAACAACAAACAGAGATAAATCTACTTCTACAGAGGAAGTTCTAGGATATCAACTCAAGGACAAAATCTCACCTGAGGGTTCAGCACTCAAGATTAATATGAGAACCGCTTGAGGGTGGGATTCCATCCAGAGTGTATTGATTTCTCCTTTCCTCAGCTAGTAATCCATTTAAACAAGCATAGTAAATTTACTTCTTAATAATATTTCTAGTGATTTTGTATGAACAAAGTAAGGATATATTAAGCTTAAAGGTTGGCTCTTCCTGGGGACATCTCATCATATATTCCAGACCACAGTTCTCAGGCCACGTTAGTCTTTCTTAACCCCAGCAGGGTCCTTATTCAGTTACATCTTTTTGGGTCATGACATAGTTTGTTCCATGACTGTGCTCTTAACCTATTACACTTATGGTGTTTAGCTTCTCTCCTTTTGTTGCTAGGGTAGCTTACAGCTTGCTCTGGGTCCATCCAGTGTCTTATTGTGACCCTGCTTTGGGGGGTGCTAGGAAGTAAAGGCAAGTGAAGTTTAAGTTATGTAAATATGATGGGTGCCCAAGAGTAGGTATTATTTCGGAGTCAATAAATCTCCATGTTACAAAGGCATGGAATGTCTTCCTGTGTCTATACAAAAAGAACAATTGCTTTAAAAAAACATACAAATGACATAAAGGAAAGAAAACCAATACAGGGTTATTAGTGCTAGATGGAATTGGGTGTGCCTCTGGGGCACTGTTGTGGGAGTATCTCAATAACCTTAAACTCCCTGTGGGAGAACCAAGGACAACCCAATGCTATCTAGAAGGCATCTTTCCCCAAAACACAAAACATTAATTCAAAATGATATATGCATGCCTATGTTTATCACTGCACAATAGGCAAGATATAGAAACCATCCAAAGGCCCAATAACAGATGGCATCTGGCAACTACAGATGAAGAAGCTGTGATATACATACACAACAGAATACTATGCAGCTCCAAGAAATAACAACATCATGCAGTTTGCAGAAAAATGGGCAGAACTAGTGGAATTATGCTGAGTGAAGTCAGAATGAAAGGGACAGATACAGAATAATCTCTCTCTTAGGTATGACTAAAACATACAAGTGAGGCAGCAAGAAAGATCCAAAGGCGATAAAATGGAGGGAACTGAGCTGGAGGGTAGGTGTGAGGCAGGGTGGAAAAGAGGGGGGTACAGTAGGTACAGTGATGATGGGTACAGTGTCAGAATTATGGTTATGAGAAACCATTGTTTAAGAACTTAGAAAAAGCAAACCAAAACAATAGCAAGGTGTCATTTTACTCCAGTGAGAATGGCATATACTAAAAGACTGGATATCATCTATTGGTGGTGAAATGGAAAAAGAGTAGCTCTCATTAACCCTATTGGATAAGTTGTCTGGTGTAACCACTATAAGAAACTAAAAGATTTCCTAGTAGAAGTTAAAAGTAGACCTGCAATATAATCCAGCAATTCCAGCTCTTGGCATTTACCCCACCCAAACCAAAAATACTAATTGGGAAAGATATAGGCTTTCTCATTTTCACTATAGCACTTACTACAATAGCCATGGTATGGAAAAAACTAAACCTCTAATGAAAAATGAGTTGAAAAAAGTTGTGGTTTATATACACAATTAAATACTATATAGCCCTAGGGAAACTGTTTAACTTAATATACAAGTATCAATGAAAGGAAAATAAAATAAATGAGTATATCAGTTGATACAGAAAAGATTTTTTTAACAAAATTTAACATCATTGATGAATAAGATATAAAAATTGGGATAGAAAGAACATTCCTCAAGAAAGTAATGGTCATTTACAATAAACCCAGAGCCAATCTAATACTCAGTAATAAAAATCTAAAAGCCCCACGGGAAAAATAATCGTGGATTTGCTTCAGTTTAGATAACTTGTAATACTGAGCATAGTAAGACAAGCTCAGGATGATTTCCCACATCTGTGGTATATAATGATACAAAATAACGATATAGATAGACAACATCCATTGATAACATATACTGAGTAAAGGATATAAACTAAGAGCAGCAGACTTATAGACAATATAGACAGATGAAAGGTGACTCAAGTACACAGGGTGGTGTTCGGGACTTTCATGGTGGTGAGGTGAGGTAACAGTGTACATCATTATTATGGATATGTAAACACATATCCTAAACTATTTTAATAAAATTTTCCTTTTAAAATTTAAAAATATTTTATTTTAGATATGGTGATTTATAATACCGTTAATAGTAATAATTTTTATGCATAACACATTCCTGCATCGTAACCTTACCTTCCACCGGAGTGTTCATGTCTATTCCTGTGTTTCCCTCACCACCCTTTTCCATTGTATATGTGTATCATAGTTTCTTTATTCAATCACCTGTGGTTGAGTTCATAGGTTGTTTCCAGATTTTTGGCTAATATGCATAGTTCTGAACTAAAAAGCTGAGTACAAATGTCTTTTCTGAAAGATTTTTGGGGCTCCTGGGATATATGTTAATAAATAGAACTGATAGATCACATGGAAGCTATATTACTAGCTTTTTGAGGAGAGAGCATATTGTTTTCTAAATGGGCTGACCAGGGCCTGAGAGATAGTACAGAAGTTAGGGTGTGTTCCAGGACTAATTACTAACTCGAGAGCCAGGATTAACTCTGATCATTGCCTAGTGTAGCCTAAAAACCACAAAAAAAAAATCGGGAAGGGCCAAATTCATCATCATTCTCACCAGCAGTGAATGAGGGTCCTCTTTTCTCAACATACATGCTAGTACTGATTTTTTAAATTTTTTCTTAAAATTCCATTATTTTGTTTATCAAAGCACCATGAGGTACAAAGATAATACAGTTGATCATTTGGCACACAATATTCCATCAGTAATACTGCCACCAGTGTGAACTTCCCTCCACTAGTGTTCCCGGGTTCCCTATCCTACCCACCACTCCTCTGTCCCAGGCCCAGCGTGCCATCTTGATAGGCACCATGGTTATTAAAATTTGGATCTCGTTATTTCTGTGGTTTTTTATCTGGTTTGTATATTTAGCTCAATTATTCCTTAATTCCACAGTTGTATATGCATCCCGTTGATCTATCCTCCATTGCTTCTCATCTATCTCTTCTCTCCTTCCCCTACACTCTATTTCTTTCTTCTTCTTTGTGTGCCAGTCTCACTGGTATAAAACAATATTGCATTGTTGTTTTGGTTTACACTACCCTGAAGATAAATGATACAGTGCATTTTTTCCATGCATTTTAGTCATTTTTTTAAATGTCTTCTTTGAGGGAGTTTCTTGTTTATCTCTTCACCCCCCTTTTTTCTTTGGTTTGGAGGACACACTCGGCAGTGGTCAGGGCTTGTTCCTGGGTCTGAGTTCAGGACCACTACATGTATGCTCAATGGACCAAATGTGATGCTGGGGATCATACCCAGGTAGGTTGCATGCAAGGCAAATGCCCTTTCTGCTTGTATTACCACTCCAGTCTCTTCACCCCATTGTAATAGGACTGGATTTTGCCTATAATGTACTAATAGTGCTCTCTATATAAAAAAAATTATACTTCTCCCCTTCCAATCAACCATATTTTTGGAAAATTTCAAAATGTGATCGGTAACAATTTAACACTTGATCTTAAAGATTACTGGTATTGTGAGAAAACCTGTTACAATTAACAAATTTTTCACTTAGTTGTGTAGTATCTGGTGCAATACAACTTCAAGCCAATGAGAACATATGATGTCTTAGCTTCAGAGGACAATGGTAATCATAACTCTTTGAGACTAAGTCACCACACAAATTGAGATACATCTCAAAACTAGTGGCAAAAAAGAACTAACCTGTTTAGCACCTGGCTTCTGCTCCATAGGCATCATGGTAAGTGTTTTGGTATCTTTCTCAAACTGGCAGTAATATTTAACCCAGGATATTCCCAAAGCCCCTGAAAAACAAGCAGAAATGACACATCAGATTACTTTTCTTTTGCCATATGATCAGTTCATTCTTAAGATAGCTCTTAGTCTATAACAGTACCTCATGTTGTTTCACTAATAAAAAAATAAATAAAATAAAAAAGATAGCTCTGTGGGTTAAGTAGAGTGCCAAATTGTTAGTGCACATAGTTGCATGCTGGAATACAGAGTTCGATCCATGGTATAGCATGGGTTGTCCAACACTAAAAGGAGCGATACTTGACTCTGTGCTGTAACTCCTAAGCATTACTAGGTGTGACTTAAACAAAAAATAAAAATAATGATGATAATCGCAATAATAAGCAAAATAATAGAAGCTTTGTACATCTTTCTCTTTCTAGTGAGGCTCCAGACCTTTCCATCCCTTCCTTGTGCTTCAAACTTGCAATACCACCTGTCTACTTCAAATATGCAAGGTTTACCTTTATCCACTCTTTTCCATACTTATTCTAGCTTATCTAAGCCCTAGCTTCTTAAACTATGGATTGAACACCATAGGGGGTCATAAAATTGAATTTGGGAGTTGTGAAAAATCTTTACAAAAATGTAATGAATTTATGATTTATTATCAATAAATGTTTTAGCTGTATATCTATTTCATATACTTATATACCCAGAATCTTGTAGAAATTATTCAGTCTTTATGCAAAAGGATAGTATAAGGGATAAGGGGCTTTTCTTGTATGCACTGACACCAACTCAATCCTTGGCACTACATATGGTCTCCCAAGCGCTTCTAGAAGTGATCCCAGAGCAAAGAACCAGGACTAAGCCCTGAGTGAAACCAAATATGGCCTATACTGTTTTCACAATGAAAAAAATTATAAGAAAAAATGGAAAAAAGGGACATCTTTTAAGAGTCTAATTGAAACCACTCTCCTTGCTACTTTTTCTGTAAATGGTAATGTAGCATGTCCTATTAAAAGAACTTGAAATTTTCATTGTATATTGCCTGGCATAAAGAATTTTTTGTAAGTATTCAATTTAGATTAATATTATAATTGAGATTAATATCACAGCCACTGAAAATCTAAAAACCTGAGACATCACAAGAGTAGCTGATATTAAATACAATATTCAAAGACATTATCCTGGAACTCTTCTTCTTCAGAAATAAGACAGTAATTCCCAACCAGGGAAACTTTTGCCTCTAAAAAACAACTAGCAAGTATGGACATATATTAAGTTGTCATATCTAGGGAGTTGCATTAGAATAAAATGTATATTTAGATGCTGCTAAACACCCAGCACTACTGCACAAGATGAACCTGAAAGAAAGAATTATCAAGTCTAAAACATCAGTAGTGTTGAGATGAGTAATCCTGCAATATAGAGTTGAAGGAATATATTCAACAAGTGGTGGTACACATTTTTGAAAATGAGTTAATTGTTATTAGTGAAAAGGCAGATAGTAACATCACCGCCAAATGCCACACTTTGAAGATTTTGTTGGCTTTTACAACTCTGGTTTTATAACTTCTCTATACACTAACCATTCCTACTCGTAAGGTAGAATAAATCTGGACAAGACAGAAATCACATGTTTTGTGGGTTATGTGATCAAAGTTCATATAGAAATCAAATACTGTACAAGAGTTTACATAATGTTATGTAGAAACAGAAAAGATTCCCATTTTGTTTGGTTTGTAAGGAACAATACATAGTGTTATGACCAGTGAAATCATAAGGTCATTTAATGTTTTAAAGTGTTATCCCAAAGCAGTAGAAGGTATCAGGTATTAGAGCATGAACACAGATTTACGCATTTAAGGGATCTAAATTTAAAATTAAGCCTTGTTGTTACCAGGCCTAGATCAACTAGTGAGCCTCAGTGGCATCCTGTGGGAAATGGGTATGATAAAGAATTTCAAAGATTAAATGAGACACCATATGTAAAATACTTAGCACCATTTCTGACAAACATGAAATCTAATAAATATTTTTCTATTTTCCATACATTCCATTTTTCCCTTCCACTGCCTCAATGTTTTAGCAAAAGGATTAAATGAATTAAAATCCCACTTTTAAATCTCAAAGAAAGTCATGGGGTTTTGTTATCCTTGAGCCCTTTTGTGGCTAATTTTAACCTATTCTTCCAAATTCTTTTCACTTTGTTTGTATTGATTTATCTTTTCTAGTTTTCAGGTATAAAACCAAGGGACTAATACATGTAAGATACGTGCTCTAACTGATAAAAAAAATATATCTCTGTCCTTTTTATTTTCACTATTTCTAGAATGCTGTATAAAAATTGTAGCTGCCACCCTTTTATATGAGAAGAAAGCTAGACAGTTTTTAAGAGGTCAATTGGCTATAAATGACTACTGAAGCCCCCACACACATTTTTCTTGTGTATAGAGATAGCCTTCAATGGTTGGCTGTCCTGGAAGCTTGCAGGTCAGGGGAGCTTCTTTCATCCTTTTCTTAAGTTCTTCCATCTCTACTCGGGTACTGGAGAAATGATTTCTTGTCTGTGAAAATATTATCATCATAATTATCATAATCACATCACCATAATACACTATTATCAGTCAGAACCCAGTACAGATTTTTCTTGTCTCACATCATGTGCTACCAGATGCATATGTTGAATGGTATAATAACTAGGAAAATAAATAGTTTAATAGTAATAAGAATTAAAAAGGAAAAGAAAAAATAGAATATATGAATAGAATCACATCTGTAGACATTTTTTTCTAGTGGGAATTACATAAAATTCTGATGAGTGAAGGTTTTCAGAATTCTGAGTACTAGGGCTGGAGTGACAGTAGGGAGCTTTCCTTGGAATGACAGTAGGGCACTTTTCTTGCACAGAAACAACCCAACTTCAATTCCATATACCCATTATGGTCATTTGATCCTGCCAGGATTGATCCCAGAGCACAGAGTGAGGAGAACGCACTGAACAATGCCATATGTGTTCCTCAAATAAAGAGACAAAGAACTCTGAGTACTAGATTAACCCTTGTTCACCTTATGATAATATTATCAAGACAATTTCTAAGTTCTGCTTCAAGTTCTTCCTGATTGTAAGTTAAATTATGGCCACTAGGTTAAAATATATGAGGTGGCATGTTCCTTGAAAACAAATGAAAATATTAAAATTTGTTTTAATTCTCATGAGTAAGAAAAGCTAATGTGGGTCTGAAGAGACAGTGCATCAAGTAAGTTGCTTGTTTTGTATGCTGCTAACTCAGGTTTAATCCTGGGCATCATATATAATGCCTGAAAACCACCAGAAATAATCCCTGAGCACAAAACCAGGCATAATCCCTAAACACGGATAGGCATGGTCCAAAAAAACAACAAAAAAAATAGGAAAAAACAAAAAGAAAATGTCATGACAAAACTAATATGTTTAAGTTATACAAGACAATTTGAAGTGTAGGTATGAAAATTACTCAAGAAAGGATCTTTTAGTGTTTCATATCAAGATTGTGAGATTCTAAAATTGTTTTAATGAAAACGTTGATCTTGGATGCTCCACCTAGTTGGGCAACTCTATTAATTATCCTGTAGTGAATTTAATATGTATATATGCATAAACATACACATATATATGTATATGCACATATATATATATACATGCATATGTACAGAGTCTTGTCAAGTTATATTTAGTGAAAAGTTCAAATGATTGTCCTGGTTAGTGGAATATTTGATAAATCATTCAGCAGAAGACAGGGCTCTCATTTTCTGGTGATGAAAAATACCATCGAAGATTCAATGCAGCCTTTATTAAGATACGTATGACATTTTTCAAATATATAGATCCAACACTCCTTAAGTACATCTGGAACAGTAAACCACCATGAATAGCTAAAGCAATCCTTGAGAAAAATAAGATGGGAAGCAACACTTTCCTCAAATTCAAACTACTGAAAAGCAGTAGTAAGTAAAAAAAAAAACATGGTACTGGAATAAAAACAGACCCACAGATCAATGGAATAGAGCTAAATATCTTGACAGAGATCCTCAAATATGTGATCACATAACCTTTGATAAAGGAATAACAAATATGAAATGGAAAAATAAAAGCCTTTTCAACAAATTGTGCTGCAAAAACTGGGCAGCTACATGGAGAAAAAAGAATTAACTCAGATTTCTTTCTAATGTCAGCACAAAAGTCAGATAAAATGGATTAAAGACAGGAATATCAGATTTGAATCCGTAAGGTATATGGAGGAAAACATAGGAAGAATCCTTATGACATTGAAGATAGAGGCTTCTTCAAAGGTGAAACACCACTGACCATGCAAGTTAAAGCAAGGATAAACAAAGGAGACTATAGAAAACTAAGAAGTTTCTGCACTTCAAAAGAAATGACAATCAAGAATACAAAGAGAGCCTCCAGATTGGTAAACATTATCTACCCAATACCCATCACATAAGCGGTTAATATCCAATATATTAACTAGTAAAGGCACTAGTAGACCTTAACAAGAAAAAAATATACAATACCATAAAAATGGGGAGAAGAAATGAATAAAAACTTCCCCAAAGAAAAAATAAAAGTGACCAAAGGGAAAATGGAAAAAAAAATCTCTAAATTGCTAGTCATCAGGGAGAAGCAAATTAAAAAATGAGGTATCTTCTCACACCATACGGACACATTAAAAAGAATAAGAACAAGTGCTATCACAAATGCAGGGAGAAAAATACTCTCATTCATTGTTGGTGGGCATGCCAATGGGTCCAGCCTTCTTGGAAAACAATATGGGCATTTCTCAAAAAACTAGAATTTGAGCTTTTGTATGACCCAGGAATACCATTCATAGGTATATCCCCTGGGGCCCCAGAAAACACTACACAAAAGCCATCTGTACTCTTATGTTTATTGCTGCACCATTCATAGTAGGCAGAATCAGGAAACAGCCCAAGTGCCTGAGAACAGACAACTAAATAAAATATGGTACATCTACAGGTGAATGAGACCAGTTGTAGTTACTGGTTTTGGCATATCGAATACACAATGAATAGCTTGCCGGGCTCTTCCATGCGGGCGGAATACTCTCGGTAGCTTGCCAGTCTTTCCGAGAGGGATAGAGGCTTTTGGGGTGACCTCTAATCGCCCCTGTAGGTGTTACCATATTTGAACCCTATCAAATATGGTACAACAATTCCGGAAGATGGGTATCTGACACGCCATTTCGTCGGTAAAGAAGCAAACAGCACCCGGCCCAGACAAGATCAGACCTGAACACCTGAAGAACCTGCCTTCAGTACTCATCAATACACTGGCTCGGCTCTTCACTCGCTACCTGTCTGAATGCAATGTTCCGTCCCAATGGAAAACCAGCAAGACTGTACTAACTGTTCAAGAAGGGAGACATCCATGACATTGGCAACTATCGCCTGATCTGCCTATTGTCTGTCATCTACAAGTTGTTCACTCGAGTCATCCTAAATAGGATTGGCAGAACACTAGATGAAGGACAACCATGCAAGCAAACCGGGTTCCGCAAAGGATTCAGCTCCATCGACCATATCCACACGATAACCAAGCTCATTGAGGTTTCTCGGGAGTTCAAGATACCGCTCTGTTTAACATTCACTGATTTAAAGAAGGCCTTTGATTCTGTTGAGATGGAAGCAGTCATTGAAGCCCTAGCCAATGAGGGCATTCAAGCCCAATACATCAAGATCCTCCGTGAGCTGTATTGCGGATTCTCTACCAGGATCTCACCATTCTACAAAGAAGTGATCATCGATGTCAAGAGAGGGGTTCGGCAGGATGATACCATTTCACCGAAATTGTTCAGTGCCACCCTCGAGAACATCATGCGATGACTGGAATGGGAAGGAATGGGAGTGAAGATAGATGGTCGGCAATTACACCACCTCTGCTTTGCTGATGGCATTGTTTTAATAACACCAAACATCAGCCAAGTGGCACAAATGCTGGCCGACTTTGACTGTGAGTGTGGAAAGGTAGGACTACAGCTGAATCTTACGAAGACAATGTTTATGAGAAACAGCCTTGTTCCTGACGCCCCATTCGCTCTCAATGGAACGACCATCTCCGAATGCAACAGCTATGTGTACCTAGGTCGAGAGGTCAACATGACAAATGACCTGGCACCCGAGCTGCGTAGGAGGAAGAGAGCGGCTTGGAACACCTTCAAGAACGTCAAAGAAATAGCTAAGAGGACAAAGAACCTCCGGCTCCGGGCACAGCTCTTTGATTCCACTGTTCTTCCTGCATTAACATATGCCTCAGAGAGCTGGGCCCTACGCAAACAGGATGAGAACGCTATTCAGGTCTCCCAAAGAAGAATAGAAAGAGCAATGCTTGAAATATCACGTTTCACTCAAATGAGAGAAAGAATCTGGAGTTCTGACATCCATCGTCGATCAAGAATCGGGGACGCTGTCTCATTTGCCAAGGTGTCAAAAATCAGATGGGCTGGTCACGTAATGAGATTTAAAGTCGACCACTGGACTAGAGCTGTTACCGACTGGATTCCACGGGATGTCAAAAGACCACGTGGCCACCCACCTACCAGATGGTCAGACTTCTTCATCAAGATCACGAAAGATGGGTTTGAGGCTCTTCATGTTCCCAGAGCGAACAGATGCCATTAGGCTACACTAGTACGCGACAGGGACAAATGGAGACGTTACTGGTGCCCGCTCGAGCAAATCGACGACTAATGGGAAGTTAAGTGATTAACTGATTAAGTGACATCTACACAGTGGCATACTACATAGCTACAGGGAAAAAATAAGTAATGAAATTCACTTATAAATGAATGGACATGGAAAGTATCATGCTGAGAGAAATGAGTGAGAAGGAGAGGTACAGGCATGGAATGAGTAAACTCATTTTTTATGGGATAAAATACCAATAGTATGAGACTAAATAAAATACCAATAGTATGAGACTAATACCTAAGGACAGTAAAAACAAGGGCCAGGAGGACTGATCTATGGTTGGAAGCTTGCCACAAGTGGTCAGGGGGAGGGTAGTTAGGACAGAGAAGGGAACACTCTGATAATGATAGTTAGAAATGATCACTCTGGACAAGAACTGAGTGCTGAAAGTAGGTGGTAAAGGGATAAACACAATAACTTTTCAGTACCCGCATTGCAAACCATAATGCCCAAAAGGAAAGAGAAATAGTGATAAAGAAAAACAGTACCCGGATAGGGGCAGGATGTGGGAAAGGCGGTGGTGGTGGGAGGGAAACTGAGGACATTGATGTTTGGAAAGGTACACTCATGAAGGAACAGATGTTGGAACACTCTATGTTGTAACCTAATCATGAACAACTTTGTAAGTGTATCTCTTGGTGATACATTTTTTTAAAAAAAGAGCATTCAGAAACAAACAAATGTAATAATAGCTGTGTCAGTATCCTCCAATTCAACTAGTGATTTGAACTGCCACTTCAGCTTACCAATCTTTCTCACTAATATATATATATATATATATATATATATATCTGTAAATTTCATGCCCAGTATATTA